TAATGCTACAATGAAGAGCTGAAAAATTAACTAAAATAAATTATATGCAACAGGGAGCAATGATCCACACAAAGGGCATAAAAATTACTATGAAACTTCTAAAAGGCCCAAGTGACTTAGTGGTCTGGTGTTTAAAGACATGTATACACAAAAATCAGACCACCATTATAATACTGTGTCTTCTGATAGAGTTTACAGACCCAAATGTCTTCCAAATAGCACTCTGAAGTGCAAGGATTTATAAATAGGTCTTTTTTGAGCCACTAATACCGTTTTTGTGTTTAGGCCTGAACAAAAGCTTATCGGCACCAACCTGTAACTGGTTTTGACTGACATCTGGCCCAACTGGCAGGGAAGGGGGATTTTATACTGAGTGACACCTTTATGTTACAAAACATTTAAAATGCTGAGAGTGTGGTATTACATAGTCCTGCAGTAGATAAACATACACATTTGGCTGAAACCCGATACAGAGTTGTTTTCTTGATTTTTGGCTTTAAGTTTCCAACTGAGCCCTTGCTTTACTATCTAATAGATTTGTTCAGAAGTGTACTTATTGTAAATAAATACAGGCTAGGATAAATATCCTGTGTCTGTGTCAATTCATTTCTCTCCCAATGAGGAAATAACCCATGCATGGAATCCAAGCCTTCCTGTCATGGCAGTATATAGCTGTTGTTTAAAAATGTAATTGACACTGTATTTTAACCAAATTGGAGGCAATTAGCTTCCCCAGATCCTAAAGAATCTGAGCTGCAGATGTTCTGTCTCCTTTGCCAGAGTGAGCAACTTTAAAACGATCATAAACAAACAAGCCTAATCTAAAAAAGCTATTTCAATCTAAAAGGGACACATCTCTCTTTTTTACGCTTACATAACTCAAAATTGGCTCTATCGATTCTGCTGAAAGTTTCCACAAACATGTTCAGCTTGGGCTAAGACAAAGCATAAGGGATTTCAACTCAAAAGCAAATTCTGAGAATACAATAACTGGAATGTTTCTAGAGCTTTATATTATGGCACAGAACTTGCTCATATTTGTACCAGTGTAGCTACATACAACTGATGGCAGGATTAGGTTTTCTGTTGTTTTGAAAATAATGAGATTCTGCAACGATACAAGTGTTTGCCTGTAAAGGTCAGAGAGAAGAGTCAGGACCACAGAGAACATAAATCTGGGATGAGGTTATTATCACACAAGTTTAAGGAGACTTGCAGTTACTTGCACTTGACAAAGAAATTCACATCCTTATGCTGCCGGTCCTTTGTTATTAAACAGAAACTACAATTGGCCTTGGCACTTTATATGATATAAAACATTAACAATCAAAAAGGGCCCATACTTATAAAGTGTTTATGTTCTTATTACATTTGCTATATACACCAGAAAACTAATCATAACAATTCTTAGCAACCCTGCAGAGGGTTAGTGTGTTCCTAGTTATATGTCTTTGTTAGGTAAGAATGATAGGGTGAGTAATATTCACAGCTCCCCTGCAGTCAAGAAAATGTAAATATTTTTTCTGAAGTGCTTACAAGCCAAACCTACAGTAAATTTGAAAAATAGCCTCCATAATATTTAAACTACATCCTGGTCCATAGCCTAACGTAATGGCAACTAAATAATACATTTATTTAGTCTAAAATTTTCAATCTTCTATTCATTTAAAAACCAGAAGATAAACAACAGAATGGGTAATATATCTTCACAGAAAAGTGAAATGGATTTGGAGTGATTACAGGATAGGAACTGGTATTTTGGAAGTAATGGAGAAAAGTCTCATTAGGCTGATGATGGCGGAGAATTCTGCAGTGCTAAAATATTTATCATCTTTTTCTAACACAAACTGGGAGATAAGTTGGACGGTCACTAGAAGACTTAACATGAATAGAATCACAAACTGTAAGTACCTTCAAGGGAACAAAATAAAATAAAGGAAGGGAATTAATCACTGTATCAAATGTGGTAGGACAAAGAGCAAGTACCTGAAGCTGAAGGAAAACCTTGACTCTAGAACAGGGGCAGGCAATTATTTTGAGCAGAAGGCTGCTTACTGAGTTTCGGCAAGCCATCAAGGGCCACATAACAGGCAGCCCAGGGCAGATTAATATTAATTTTCTAAAATTTTTAGGGGCCACGCGGGCTGGATAGAATGGCCTGGCAGACTACATCCGGCCCCCGGGCCACGTTTTGCCCACCCCTGCTCTAGAACATTATTAGCTATAGGAGCAATTTAACTGTTGAATCTGATCATACTGCAACTGAAGCAAATTATCTCCTCTCACACTAAGTACCACCTCTAATTTCATGCATGCATTATTCTTCACTTCCTGTCTTAAAGTATTGTGTAGTGTTCTTTAATCATAGAAAACAGTGCTAGAAGAGACCTCAAAGAAGTCATCTAGTTCAGGTGTTTGCAGCTTTTGTAACCACATCTCCTGTTGCAGGCTGTAAATCTTTGTTTCCCCCACACTTCCCCTCCCCTCCCCTCGCCTCCACCCCTCAAGCACCCAAGCTGCTTGTGCTTACCCTCATTGCAGATACGCAGGCCTGTTGCAATGAGGGTAAGTGCAGACACAAGAGAGCTGCAGGGAAGGCTGCAGATGGGGACACTGGAAGGGACAGGAGGCCTGGAGTAGCTGCATTCTGCCCAACCCCCTGTGCTGTTCTGAGCTGGGTTGGACCTTTGTGTGTCGAACCCTGATCTAGTCCAATCCCATGTTCATGGTAGAATCATCCTTCTTTAAATTATCCAAGAAAAATGTTTAGGCATTTGTAGTGTTGGAGTGATGAGGTCAGTTGGCCAGACCTGAAGAATGCACTGCATTTGAAAGCTTATCTAAACCTAATCTCAACCATGCAGTTGGTCTTATAGAAGACATCACCCACAAAAATCCTTTCCTGCATTTACAAACTTCCAGTAACAGATTCCACAACCTCTCTGGGTCATCTGTATAGTACTTAACAACCCTAATAAAAAGTCATTCCCAACATTCAGCCTGAATCTTCCTTACTGCAATTTCAGCCCATTGCTTCTTGTCTGCAGACGACTAGTTGACCATCATCCTTTTTATAACCTTCTTAGTTTTCAAAGACAGTTATCAAATTCCATCCTTAGCCTTCTCTCCTCCAGACTAAATAACTCCAGCTCTTCCATCCCTTTCTCATGCATCATATTTTCTAGACCTCAAATCATTTTTGCTGCTCTCCTCTAGTTTCTTCGTAATTTGTATACATCTTTTTTGAAGTACAGTCCCCACAAACTCCAGGTAAGACCTCACCAGTGCTGTACAAAGTAGAAGAATCACATCCTGTGACTTGAATACAATTCCTTTTTTTGCCACATTATTAAATCTGACTCATATTCAGCTTGTGGTCCTTTTCTGTAATACTGAAGCCTAGCCAGTCACTCCCCATTTTGCATTTCTGCATGATAGGTCTGTTCTAAGTGTAGCACTTTGCAGCTGTACTAAGCAGAAGTAAAAGTTATTACTAAGGGGTGAGTGTCAAGGCACTATTGCCACATATAATCAAGAGCAAGCTAGATTAAAATATCTGTATGGGAGATCTGTAGGCAGGGAGTTGTCTAGAAAAAGGCAGATGATGAGACTGATGAACCAAGTTAAATTTATTATTGTGCTTTCTATATTATAAAATTATCATGTATGAATATGATTGTGAAGAGTTAGATGGCATGAAGAGCCTGGGGACCTAGATAAAAATTCAGTAAGGAGAAGCAATAACAGAAATCTTAGCAATGTCCTCAGGGAGAGGACAGAACAGTCGGTCAGATACCTGAAATGTTTATACATTAATGTGAAAAGCACAGGAAACAAATAGGAATAATTTGAGGTCCTAGTGCAATCACAGAATTATGGTGTAATTGGGACTACAGAGACGTGGTGGGATAATTCACATGACTGGAGTATGGTCACAGATGGCTATAGTTTGGTTCAGGAAGGAGAGATGGGAAAAACACCCCTCCCTAATCAAAGCATCCTGCCAGGGCCTGGCCATGCCCCCCTCAGCTCAGCACTGTGGAAGGGAAGGGAGGGCTGTTCTAATGCCCCCCAGCTTCTAGCCTGAGCCACTGCAGGCATGCGCCTGCGTTTCTTCAGTTCAGAGGGGATGTCTGTGCAATTACAAACCAATTCAGCCTAGCCAGGTTAGACTAACCTGCAAAGATTGAATCAATTCAGGCCCAGGCTTTTTGTATGTCTGTTCCTATCCTGAGAGGCATGTCTGAGGGGAAAAGGAATCCAGGAGAGCTGGCTGTACTTCAAGGAAGCTAATTTTAAAGATGCAGAAGCCAACTATCCTGATTCGACAGAAGAATGGGAAGTGCAACAGGAGAACAGCCTGGCTAGATGGCAATCTCCTTAACGAGCTGAAATTCAAAAAAAGGAATTTGATAAATAGGAGAAGCTTGTTTATAGTACTAGTTAAGAGTGTATGTGCCACACATGGGCATGTGGGGAGAAAATTAGGAAGGCCAAGGCACAATTTGAAATGCATTTGGCAAGGGACATACAAGACAATAAAAAGGAGTTCTACAAGTATGTATGCCAGAAGTAAGGGGAAGACCAGAGAAACCATGGATCCCTTATGAAATGCAGAAGGCAATCTAGTTATGGATGATGCAAAGAAGGCTGAAGTATTTAACACCTTTTTTACTTCAGGTCTCCAGAAATAGGGGCAGCTACCAGATGACAAATGTAGTTGGCAGGAAAGACAGAAAGGAGACAAACAGCCTAGAGTAATGACAGAACAGGTTACGGATTACTTTGGGAAGCTAGATGCATTCAAGTCAGCAGGGCCAGATAGGCTGAACCCTGGGGTACCAAAGAAACTGGTTAATTTCAGAGCTGTCAGCTATGCTCTTTGAAGACTCATGGAGGTCAGGTGAGGTCCTGGATGATTGGAAAAAGGCAAATATAGTGCCCATCTTTAAGACAAGGAGGATCTAGGGAATTATACACCAGTCAGCTTAAAAAGATACCTGGAAAGACCATAGAGCAGGTTCCTCAAGGAATCTACTGCGAAGCACTTAGAGAACAGCAAGGTCATCAGGAACAGCCATCATAGATTCACTGAAAGCATGTCATGCCTGAGCAATCTGATCTCCTATGATAAGGTGATAGGTTCTGTGGATGGGGGAGAACAGTGGATGTTATGTATCTTGATTTTAGGAAGGTTTTTTACACCATCTCCTATGACATTTGCATGGACAAGCTATGGAAATACAGACTAGATCAGTGGTGCTCAACCTTTTTGTCCAGTGGGGCAGATGGACAGTGCCTGGTTTCTTCACAGGCTGGATCTGCTGGTGGACCCATTCTGGCACCTTGGACAGGCATAGCAGGGCCCATCCAGCTGCGTGGAGCAGGATGGGGGGGCAGCCCAGTCCTCATCTTGCTGTGTGGGGGAAGGAGGCTGAACTCAGCCTCAACCTGGCTGGCCGGGATGAAAAGGGCTGAGGCCCAGCCCTGTGGGGGAAGGGGGACTTGGCCTGACCTCATGGGAGGAAGGTGTGGCCCAGCCCTAACCTGGCAGGGGCATGGCAGGAATGCAAAAGTGTCATGGGCCAAACCTGAACCAACTGCACAAGGGAAGAAGGCATGGCCCAGCCCAATCTGATCATGCAGGGAGAGGTTCATGTTTCCACTCCAACATACCCCTTAGGGTTTAGGATTTTGGCAGTCAGGAGGGGTGGCAGTATTAACTGTCACTGCCCCCCCCACTGCCAAATTTCCCCACACTTGGGGAGCCCCACAGGCTGGACTTGGCCCATGGGCTGGAGGTTGAACACTTCTAAAGTACCAGCTTGGTTGGATCATCTTGCTCAACATGGAGTCATCAAAGGCTCAATGATTAGCTGGGCCAAGATTCATTCAGGAGTTCTGGACAAAAGATATTCATCAGGATGAAAATCTCTTCGTAGTTTTAGCCTACAGCTTATGCTTTCTGCATTGATTAGTTCAGTTCAGTGATTCTCAGTGAGAAGCACCCTAGAGTAACAATGCCATATGATCCTTCTAAGGGTATACTGCAATATTAGCACTGTTAGGAGCTAACCATGATTCACTGGATAAGATACGCACAGACATTTTAAACGGGCATCTATAATGTCCAAAACATTCTGACCTGCTATGGTCCTTCTGAGTTCTTTGCAATGGAAGAATCGCTCTATTATTTTTCTGTAGTAAAAAATTAAGAAAGGTCAGATATTGTATTTTCCAAGGGGTGCCTTGAGGCTAAGAAGGTCGAGAACTACTTATCTAACACATGCATACATGCACTTTGTAGTGTTATTGGTTTTCTCTTTATTTTAATTGGATCTTGGTGCATCAACTTCTAACTCAGGGATACTGTTATTGGCTGTCCAGGAAAGAAAGAAAGAGAAAGACTTTTCAGCTCAAGATAAGAGGAATGCAGGAGCTACACAGTAAGCTCAGACACCCGGCAAAGGTAAAAGGAGTCCAAACCTACTCATTTTGGGCTGAGAACCTTAGCTACTAGCAATATAGGGATGGGAAAAATCAAATAATTTGGGAAGTGCCAGGCTTCTTTCCAGTGCTGCACAGGAAAAACAGTGTCTTCAGTTCTTTCGTTACTAATATCAACAGGTTGGAACCAACAGTTTCTCTTATACATGTCAAAATTAAATATAACATCTTCTGAGAACACAAAGCAAAACATTCTTGGATTTAAAAATAAAGCATGATCTGGTGTGAAGCACTTACAAACACCCCCTGAAATATAACTGCTGGGATAAATGGAAGACCCCAAGACACTCCATATTGAGCAGTGCATTAAGGCAAATGTTCCAAAAACTTTTTGGTTTCTTCTGGACTGAGAGACAGGGTGTTTATATTTATGGACCAGCCTTTTATATTCTTTTGTGTGTTTTGACCTGTGAGACAGGAGTTCACAATGTAGGGATGACAGAGAAATAAAATAATAAAATGAGTATCCAACACCACAGTTTGTGATTGCGATCTGCTATAGTCACACAGCTAGAGCAGTGGCTAGTACTCCTTTATGGAATGATTTATAACGCAGAAATCCATGTGATTCAATGTTCTTATCAAGTAGTTTCAAATAAAATGTGAGAGAGGGCTCTTTGCATATCTTACCCTCAAGAATGCAGCTTCTTTAGTCATAAAGACTGAGAAGCAAAGACTATTCTAACAAAAGTTAATTAAAGTGTAAGAAAAAACTCTTGGTATCTGGACTTGCCAAGTTGATAACTTGTAAGCTATGACCTGTATAAAGACTTGATAAACTCTGTCCTTTATAGAAGAAGTGCACTTTTAACTTGACTTACTGTAAACAGAATTCAAGGTATAACAGTTTGTAATCGCAGGCGGTCTGTAACAGACTTGTTGAGTACTGACATTTCTCAGAACACTTGACACAAACTGAATAATGATGCTATTGTGGTTAGATAAGGTTCATCACTATTAAAAGGGAATAAAATGTTGGGGCTTTGATTGCATTAAGCCAAAATTTACAAACACGGATCTGAAATGTTTGACAGATTTAGGAAAGGGAATCATGAAGAAAATACCAAGGTTACTGCACAGATAAGATGTGGTGATAGATTTTCTGATTTTTTTAATGGGTTACAAGGGATGGATTCAGAAAATCCATTTCACTCTCTGAAGAAAAGTAAATTGTTTGTTCCAAATTAGTTTTAAACAACAAACTGCAAAAATTAGTGTCCAAAAGGTCTGTTCATATTAGGCACAAAATCAGAAGAATTAATATACAATGGCTTGGCTCCTTCAAGTTAACTGGGCTCTACCCCCTAGTGTGGAGCTGACGTGGGAGAATAAGACAACTCCATTAGGAGTCCATATCACTTCTCTGCAGTATTCCTCACAAGCAGATGGAGCGGCTATTTAGCCAAATGCACCGTGACTCCTGGTTTATACATGAGCATCTGGGATGTTTCCTAACGTGATGTGATGTACAATGTACTCAAATTTATCAACTGTCCCACATGCAATTAAAGATTCTGATAAATAATTCTGTGGTAAAGGCCCCACAGCTGAACTGAAAAGCAGCAAGGCGTGAGGGGTCAAGTGTTTTCGCAGGATTTATATTTAACAAACAGAGAGCTGCCTACAAAGGAATGTCTCTATTGAGTTGCTGCAGAATTATTTTCAGACAGCAGGAGTCAGCTGAAGGCACAAGCTGAATAGCTAGTAACTTCTGCAGTCTTCGTTTTAACTGAACTGAATTTGAATGTAATATTGGAGTTAATAAAAGGGTTTTTTATTGCCCTGAGTAACAAAATATCTATGTAGAGATAGATATATAATTTCCTGGCTAATATATATTTTGATCTAAGAATAATGTGCAGTATCAACATTTTTCTGTGAATGTCACAAAAATGATTTTAATACCTTAGAACCATTTAATCAACATCTTATGCAGACAGTGAATAGATAATTGAAATATAAGTACTGTCATCCATATCCCCTTTGGGAAATGACACAGTAAGCATTATATCATTCCATTAGTCCACTCTTTGATGTTGGTTTTATTCTCATTAAACTGTGTTTTAGCCCCAAGGTTTTTTTTTCCCTCCCCCTTCATTCTCTGACGCAGCTATAGCAAGAAAGAAAAAAAAAATGCCCTGCTGCTTAAAATGCAAGGGCTACATTTTTACAAGTAATTGGACATGCCAAAAATATAAAGCTGCTTTTTTTATTTCTTGTTTACCAAATTCAGCCGATGCCAACTTCCTCATCTTCTGAAAAACACAGGGAAGAAAAAAGCCCAGCGGGGAGAAAATACACTTACTTGTTTTCAAATAATTATAATAAAGGTTGCATACAGGCAGGATAAAAGTTGCTCAAAAAGGTTGCTGTGGTGGTGTCTACTTTGAATTGTGCCCTGTTTAAACAAGACAAAAAGCCTCCCACTGAAAAAAAGCAACATTTTTTATCGTTTGAAAAGATCTCAGGACTGTCCCTTTAAAATGAAGTATTTTCTAAACAAAATATTGGAATGTTTCCCTAAGGGATATGAGTATCTGACCTTTTAAAAATGATTATTTCTAAAGAATTACAGGTTTATGGCATTTTTGTTTTATTTTGTTTTGACTTAAATATAGTGAAACCTGCCTAGAATGACCACCCAAGGGACTGGAAAAATCAGCTACTTAAGGAAAGGTTGATCTTTAACAAAAATTGTAGAGGAAGCCTTAGGGAGATGTTAAAATGCTGGCAACAACGGAAGGGATCACTAAAATCTTAGCCCAAGTTTTAGTGTAAACCAAGAACATGATTCTTCCCATATATACCTATGTAGTTCTGTTATGTTCAACAGAATTGCTCCTTATTTACACTGGTATTGAGAGGAGAATCAATCTCCTTACATTAAATTATCAACAGTGATTACAGGCTCGACACGTTTATAATCCATATGACATTTCTTGAGTATGGTCTTATTTTGCTACACAGGTAGCTGCCTTGCCACAAAATGACTGAATCAGTAAAATTCCCGACACTGGAGAATCAGGATTTACATACTGTTGAGCTATACCAATCCTGGATCTCAACACATTCTTAAATAAATATGGAAAATGCAAGGCATCAGAGTGTTCTAGTCTCTAGGCTATATATTTGCAAGTGTGGCAGCACCTCAGAAATGGTAAAGGTTGTTCTCAGATGATGTAAGCCAATCAATTTAGATGGATAGACTGGTAGTACAGAGGGCCTATTCTGCTGGATTCTCTAGAGTTTTGGACTTTATGGGGTAAATTGGTCAAAGCTGACACTCTAGTCATAAATGTCAGAAAGTGAAAAAGCTTTGGGTTTTCATTAATTGTATATAATTGTTAATAATGGCTCTCAAAACCTGAGAGCAGTATACAGAAAATAGCTGTTACTGCATATCCCAAGGGAGGAGATGGTATGCATTTCAGGCAAAATATTTATCAATCTACCATATTTACTCAAATATAAGAGGAGTTCCCCCCCTCCCCCAAACAATCAGCTCTTAATCATATATTCTCGTACAAGGAAACCTCATTAAATACACTGCCTATTGTTCAACTGCTGCCAAAAGCGGCATATGCTCAGAAATGGAAACCAAATATGA